AAATCATATTCTCATTGGTCACCACTTATCGCGTGATATTAATTTAGTCAATGACATCTACTTTTAGTATTTCATGTTGTGCAGGTGAAATAATATATTCCTGACTCACTGACCCTCACAAAGCCTGGTAAAGGGACACAAATAATGGATAGTGGTTTCTTCAAAGAAAAAAATAATGTAACCTGGTAAATGAAACCACAGAAAGACTTTTTTTTTAAAAGCAACTAATTTCTTGATTTCTTTTTCCAAATGGGAGAGGTAGAGAAAGGTTTGATTTTGCAATTGGTGGCTAAATATTCCAATACTAATATACCATGGAGTGTTGCCAATTACATGCATGGTTGGTGACTAAACACTAAGCATCGCCCTTCCATATTGCTGCAGACTGAAGAGAAAAATTGCCATGTTGTGCAGAACCTCGACAACCAGCATAAGCATATATCTACAGAAAAAGTGAGGAAGAATAGGAATATAGTACTGTGTCCTCCCATTTAACTGATACATTGATCACAGATCAATAAACAACCACTAGTAATAACCAGATTCAAATGCCTAATTATTGTCAATCCATAGGGTCTGTACGATCAAATAATATACAAACTGTATTAGAGATTGAAAATAAATTAGATAGAAAAGAGTAAAGTTAGATAAAATGAGAGGAGTTTGTCCATGGACGATTGAGATATCACTAGAATTGTTAATTCACCAATTCTAAGATGACATTAGAAGATGCAAAAGTATACAAGGAGCCCTAATTTTGTATAGAAATTGTAGGGACCAATAAGCATGTGCACATCAACTATGTTGATGGGTAACCTTATGTTGGGATTTCCTCACTACCAAAAAAATGCAGATTTCATGAGGGACGAACAAATGTCACAAAATTGTTCATCCCCTCACAAAATTGTTTCATGATGGGCCACTCTCATGCAATAACCCTCACAAGTCGAACACCAGGTAAATCAAAAGTTGCATGGCAGTCAGCTGTCACGAACATATTTTATGGCGGTCACCATCATGAAACATTAGGCATGTCGTCTGGTTTTCAGAATAGTTCATCAGAGTGAGAAACTCACATGAAAATAGCTCGTGGCGTTGAGATACTCTCATGAAAATATTTCATGCATGGAGGTGTGCTGCTCACAGGAAAACAATTCGTGGCGGTGTTTTAACTCACAGGAAAACATTTTGTGGGGGTGACAAACTCACAGGAAAACTATTCTTGGAGGTGATAACTGCCACAAAATATTATTCACACATCCACAAACACACACTATTAATGGGTGTTTGAAATTAAATGACCACAAAATATCAATGTAGACCCACAGCAATGCGTTATTTTCCTGGAATCACAAATGACTATTTCATGGCAGTGAAATCATTGCAACAACCAATTTTAAGAACAACAAATGCATAGCCATGAATGAGTGCCATTAGATAACCCAATTTCATTCCAGCATAGGCACACACACACACGCATATAGATATATGTATATATTTATATAGGGATGTGCTAGCGCCCGGACGTCCGACATGATAGGATTTCGTCGGACGGCTGTTTCCAGCGCGCGCCTGCACAGCCTGCCCCCCATCCGCATGCGCATCGCGCCATCGTCGCGTCCGTACGACTCACTCGCAGTTTCGCCGTCGTTACATGAACAAAGCATATATATGTCTTAGTGGCCATAGAGTTAAGTGCAATCCAGAAAGATAGTTTAACAAGATGGGTTTTCTATGAATATTATTCATGTTGGGGGGAAACCATTAGGATAATATATTTTGCTAGTAAACTGGTAGACAAATACCGTCTAGGATAGTAATTGGATGTCGGTTCCCAAAGGAATATATTTTCCTCAAGGTTTCTTGTACTATTTCCTTGATGTGTTTCTTGGTACACTACTGTAAACTAGACTTCTCCTGTCAGTGCGAAACCGGCATGAAAATTTGAAAACCCAACAGGAAAATTGGAAAAGTCATTTCCCTATCAATATACCGACCAGAAAATTCCGACAAACTTAAAAGCGAAAGGGATAGAAAAATTGTTTGTTGGTACACCGATTTCCTTATAGGTTCTTTTGTCGACAAGGACATTGCCAGACGTCAAGACTAGAATTATATCCTTGTCAAACAACGAATACAGGAAAAAGCATTTTAACCATCAAAAAAATTAGCCTCTATAGCCATAAAAATAAATTTCTCTGCTAGTAATGTACCATCAAATCTGGTAGATGACAGAGAAATTGAAGTATATAGTTCCTTAAATTTATTTTTATACTCATTCATATAGCAGCTAAAATCATATAAAATGTCACAAGGCTACATTAAAATCTAATAAGAGGTAGAACAATTGGTTTCACCAAATGGAGACAACACTTGATGTCAAGATTGATTAAACTAGATCTATCATTACATATATCATATATAAATATGATATCCACATGTTCATCATGAATAATAGAATCAATGTCATTGCAATTTGAATTTTGAAAAAAGGAAATATTTTGTTGTTCAACCAAACAATAATGAAACTCTACATGCATTCCTTGACTACTATTAAATTCACAAAAGCGAAGATATAAATAGATAGTGAAACAAGTAGTATTTCTAATTAATATGCTGCAAACTGCAATAAGGCATGACAAGTTCATAAATTGCTAAACTGATTTACTTTAAGGCAACCTACCTAGCATGTTAATCTGTTTGCACCGTCAAGAGTCTGACTGTTGTGGCCACCAACATTAGTCAAACCACTGACCTACGTACAGGCGAATCAGATTTACACACACTTAGTTGAATGAAAGCCAGCATGCAGTTTTAGACCATCAATGATAACAAAAGAATAAAGACTCAGTATTTGTGCAGCTACACTTGCAGATCACTCAAAACTAACATCATAAAAACACATGGTTAGATCAACCAAGAGGATGTGAAAGACAAAGTTGACATCATACTAACTTTTAGGTCCATTATGACTCTGTAAAAATTTGAGTTTGTGAGTACCGCATCAGATGTTAAACTGTGTACAGTGTTGCAGTTTAAAGTGAGGAGTTTAATTAAAAGCATGACTGAAGTGAGGAGTTTCAGTTAGAATCTATTTTATTGAACATATTTTTTAGATAACGTGGCAGTTCATCATGCAATGATTAAATTGGAAAAAAATTATGCCTTAGCTCTGGTTACACTTCCTGCTGCCCATCAACATGATTATAAGATCAAGGTGCACCAAAAAGGATGACAACAAGTAACCATGTTGAAATACTGATACAAGTAAAAGTAAGCTAACAGAGACTCCTTCAAGCTAACAGGCCCGAAGCTAACAGTAACTCCTTCCACATCATACTAAAAACAGGAAGTTAGGTTTATTTATGTGAATCCAAAGAATAGTATGATAATCACCTTCTTCTCCATTTTGTCAGTGGTCACCCAGCATTTTGAGCTTCAGAAGTGTCCACACGGTAGGAATATTATCTACCTGCTGTCATTCATCAGGAAGATGAAATCATCATCAGGGAGAGAAAGAAATGAAATAGCCTAGCGCACGTTTTATTTGTCATTCGAATGGCTTGCATCTATTCCCCATAGAACTGATAGCACCCATAGAAATGATGAACACAATTGCATAGATTTAATTGCAGAGCAGTCGCAGCTCACTGACCACCACAAGTTAAGTTAAAAAATAGTATAGCAGTACACTAAATATTAAAGAGCAAAATGGTTCTTCTGTCCCTCTTTTTTTTAGTTCCTAAAATGCCCTCACGCCCCTCCCTGTCCTGCATCTGACCCAGACTCACGACCTATCATCATATGAGTTAGAACAACAACCCGTATTCGTACGAGTTATGACAACATGCGTCGAACGATGGAGTCCAATTCTAAGGTGTGTCTAGCGATGATACGGAGTTAGATTTCAATTGGAACAAATGACCCTGATGTTGAATAGATCTCCAAGGTGCAAATAGTCCAAAGTAACCGCACAACAAGCCACATACGTTCTATTACAATGCATGAGCAAGTTTGCTGGTATATATTTAATATTATAGGGAGAAAGAATTCTTCTTCCATCTTTTTTTACTTCAATTCTAGCAATGCTCACATGTCCCTTTCTATCTCATATTACCCGGACTCATGGCCCATGCTTATACAAGTTAGTGTGAGCCCAACGATGCTACAAAATCTTATTCCAAGATGCGTCAAGCGACGGTACATAATTTGATTTCAAATGTATTAAAATAGATGACAATCGTTTAATAAATCTTCGAGCCGCAAATCGTACGTCCATATAATCATGTAATAAGTTGTACATTCTGATGTAACGCGTTGCACGTTTGCTAGTAACCGAACCAAAATTACAATCAAGAACAAACAATAATATAAAAGTTACTACCTCCGCCCACAAAAGAAGGCAATTCTCGGATTTCGAGAAGTCAACCAGTCTGGACTTGACTAAATTTGTATAAAAAAGTACAAACATTTTTATACAAAATAAGTACAATTAGATTAGTTATAGAATATATTTTATAATAAATTTATTTAGAGACATAAATGCTAATACCATTTACTCTAAACTTTGTCAAACTTGAGCTCAATTGACCGACATGGATACCATAATTGTATTCTTATGTGGACGGAGTGAGTAGTTATATATATGTCTCACATGTCCACATGATTTATTGATATATAATAAATTTCATCCACAGCTACATGATCAATCTTGAAATGCATATGCGGGGCGGATAAGTAACACATCATGTTGACATGCATGGCATCACGCGCGTAGGATGCTGCTGTCTGCTGCTCTCACAAGTACGTACGTATAGGTTGCTACTTGCTAGTAAGGGTTCTGTCCAATGACGTTGCCTGGTGGGTAGTAATTGCAGATGATGAAGACGCCGGCGTTGTTGCTGCAGACGACGCGGGCGCAGCCGATGGCCGTGGAGGCGCGCCACACCACCTGCGTGTAGTGGCCGCACGACTGGCCGGACGGCATATGCATGAAAGAGCTAGCTGTACAGTAAGTCCGACGCCGCCCATGCGTAGCCCGCCGAGCCCCAGAAGAGGTTCTCCCCGTAGGGGCCGCCGGAGTGCACCAGCCGGCAGTCGCCCGCGCGCTGGTTCACGTAGCTCTGCGCATAGGCCGCCACCGTGATGTTCCAGGTCACGCTCCCGACGCCCACGTCCGCACGCGGCGAGTTGTGCAGGTTCACGAAGTCCTGCGCCGTGTTGTGGGCCGAGACACGGCCGGCAGCGGCTGCGGCCACCACGGTGAAGGCGAGCGCCAAGCACGCTAGCTTTGACGATGAGACTACCTCCATTGTATGTTGTTAAAACTTGGCTTATTTGCACTTGTGGTTCATCTGTCTGTGTGTGGTGGTTAGCTAATCTGCAATGCATGCATTAGTAAGGTCCATGGGAAGCCTGGAATACGTATTTATACTAGCTGGATGACTGCTTGTCCATGGCAGGTTTAGCTGAAAAAGGAAATGGCGATGGATTGCATTGGTTGTTTTGTCCAATATAAGCCATGGGGAGAATTCCATGAACTTGTCCAGATGAATTAGTTTCGAATTTTGGATAAGCTTGGTTAGAAGGCTTAGTCTGTGTCTAAGTGGAGTAACACTTGCAAGAGGGGCAGCTCCCTTTGGACGGTTTACTTCACCTGAGCAGCTCAGAAGGCTTAGTCTGTGTCTAAGTGCATTGTGCATGGCGTACAGCCCAAAAAGCTTGGATACATTGAATAAGATACCTGATTCAAGTGGCTTTTGCATGTTGCTGAAGCAAATTATTAAGCAGTTTTTGCACCCCCCTACCCAACCTCTCTGAGCCGTCCAATAGATGAGAACAGCACAAATAATCATCACCTGATTATTACTAAGAAACTTCTCTTTCACTCGATCTTCACCCTCCATCCTTGTTGAGGTTCAGAGCGGCCTATATTTCCTCCATCTATAGCAACACTTGGCTTCTCTAGTAGCCCCTGTTCTTTCCCTTCACTCAATTTCTTACCATATCTAGCTAGAGTCTCAAACAGGATTGAGAGAAGGGAGCTATGAATGTGCTTGAGCTCTTTTGGCTAAAGTTAGGTCACAGTGAATAAGTGGCCAGCACTTTGGGATGAAGAGGTATGAGTTTATATTATATATAGTCCCCTCTAAAGTCGTTATTTCTAGGACTTCTAGAACTTTCGGACCTATATGAATGTTTTGAGCATCAACAAACTTCTGGAAGTGGGCTAAGCTAAGCAAGAACTTCTGGACTTTGCAGAAAGTCGAACTAGAGCAGTTAAACCCATTTTCCTAAGTGCTCATGCAAATGAATGTTTCTCTCATGATTTGGTTAGATCTTTGAGAATTTTATCTTACGTAAGTCTTTGAGATTTGTATTCCTTTTATAGTACGGCATTTCCAATACTCAAATTCAAAAATATGAAACAATAATTAAACCCTTCGTTGAGTTGATCACCGTTTCTTCTTCTTTAAAATTGAGAGGTCACATAGTTTAATTCATTATCCAATCTAGAACAATACAACACATTCGATTAGCCATTAGCATAATCGAGCACATATGAATACACATATGGATATGAACTCAAACAGTAAAACCTCAAACCTCTTAATCTTATGTGAATCATTCATCACACATGAATGAGGCCAAGGCACACTTCAACATAGTCTCTCACCACTGTATCCAATCCATCATAGATAACAAATGCATATAACCCCAAATAAATAACATGATAGATCACAATTGTAGAGTAGCGGCGGCATGGCGACTAGTGATGAGCAAGCTATCGCTAGTAGTGGTGTCAGCTATGGGAGTGAGGAAAGGGAATAAATCTAGTGGCATTAAATTTAGGGTTCAAGTGCAGATACAAGATGGGTGGCCCAATAGGGGAATTTGTGGAGGAACTCAATCCAATTTGCCAGGGCAAGAGAGCTAATTTGGCTCGCCCATCCAGACAAGAAAGTCCTTGCTGAACTGGGCAAGCTCACTAAGAAAGTGAGATTTTCAAGCACCTATAAAATAAGCATGTTAGAATTTATGACTTAATCATCACTAGTCTAAGACAATAACACCTAGATGGAGGAATTTCAGTCGGTCTCGAATTTACCTTGGTCGAAGGAACATGAGGTCATGCATTAGGCCTAACTAAAGACATGCACATGCTCAATGCACGTGTGAATGACAACTTATTTGCAAATAGAATCTGAACAAGGTTTGTTGGAATCGTTGCTATATATCCTCGCTAAAATGATGGTTATACTAGGGGCAACCAAGAGTTGGTTGACAGCCCCATTCAAGACACATGGGTGGGTTCTTCGGCGTGTAATGACCATTTTGCTGAGCGATGAAGGTCTGATCACTAAAATGATGGCTATCCTCACTTAAGAATACATCTTTTCCCGGCAAAGCAAAATGGTATTGAGCAAAACATGCTAATAAGCAATAAGCCTCTCAAGGTTAATTTTAAATAGCGCATGGTATTGAGGTTTAAGATATTTGGGGCTTGTTTTAGATAACACCTTAGAAAGTTGCCTGGCTTAAGCAACAATCTCAAATGTCCGATTTTGATTGCATGTGGTTGAATGAAGTTACCTGGTTTAGACAACTTTTCTAGGACTCAAAATCACACTTTCTTCTTTTGTGTATAATAATAAGGGCATATACCCAACCTCACCATCACTCGTTATATTGGGATTAAAGGGTAGAGATTAAACCATGACATAAGTTGGGGAGATGTCTATAAGCTCTTAGAATGCACTCTCAAAGTCCCAGTTTGGTAAAGGTATAGCTATGGGAGAGTGCTTCCCTAAGAAACTGCACAAACAAAGGAAAAACTCTATCAACATATGTTGGTCTGAGATCAAGTTGTTGTGTTTTAGTACAAAGAAAGGAAGCTATGAGAGAAGCTTGGCTAGAAAAAAGATTAAAAAAAAGGCATTTCGTTTGGCTTCTAGTTTTAGCTTATTTTCGCCACAAACAGTTCATAATAATAAGATACCAAACATGCCTATGATCTCACACAGATGGTAGATCTCTCTTTCTTCTTTTGAGTATAATTATTACATATATTGCATACATCCAAGTAAAAGTGTAAACGACAAAACAGGACAAACTAGCATATACTTCCTCCAAACGGAACGGCTATTCTCTTGGACGTACATGCTCTAACGCCGAACGGCTATCTGACTTGTAGCGCTGCAAGTAGTCCACCAGCTCATCGACGTACTGGTCCTGCCTCACCCTGTCCCCGACAACCTTCTGCAGCTCGGCGGACGGAGAGCCCAGAGGAAGCGCGCCCCGGAGAGCTCCAGCCCGTGCGCGAGCTCCCGGACGTGGTCCGCCGTCACGGGCGCCTCGCTCCCGGCGCCACGTGAGACGACGGACCTCGGGGCTGCTCGTCCAACCACCGCATCGTGGCGCCAAGGACTCACCGTCTCCGTCTTGGGCCCCACGGGCGGCGTCGTCGACGACGCCACCGGGCAGAGGAGGAGGCGGGGGACGACGGGCTTTGGCGAAGAGGTCTGCCGGTGAGGAACTGTTAGAATTGATCTCATCCGTCTTGACCCAGCGGCCGAGGCGGACCCTTTGACCGCGCCCCGATCGAGGACGTCCGGCCATCTCGTGGCTAGTGGGCCCCGTCGACAAAGTGCCTATAAAGAGGAGGTGGGGCAAATGGCACATGACACGAGGTTCGCCGCCACCACAGACCATTGTCCCTAACCCTAATCCGATCCAGAGGGTGGCATCGCCAACAAGGGAAGCACCACCGCCTCCACCACCACCGCCGGTCTTCACACCTACACCAAGCGTCGCTGCCTAGCGCAGATCTTCATCGACGAACCAGAGAAGGCAGGAAGCTCCTCCGACGGTCAGATGCTCCTACATCTCTCTCTCTCTCTGTCTCCTACCTCGAAGCAAACTCATGATTCAACAGGAAAGAACTAACCCACTGGATCCACACCTAGACGATCCAAAGTACATAACAATGGTATTAGAGCCGGTTTACCTAGGCGTGGATCTTGTCAGGGGCTAGAAACTGATTAGAAAAGAAAAGATAGACTAGATCCGTTTGGATCTAGACAGAGAACGAAGAACCGCGTGGGGAAGATGAATGGTTTTTAAATCGGAAGAAGTAGAAACCCTAATCCTAGCAAAGAATAGAGAGAAAGGGGAGGGGTACCCATAACCCTAACCCTAACAGAAGGGAAAAGAAATTGACGGCGGTCCGGGGGAAGTCTTACCAGGGCCTCCCCGCCGCCGTCACTACCGCCTCACGCGGGATGGAGTACCCACTGTCGGCTAGCTGACGCGTGGGAAGAGAATCAAGATAACAGCAAAGAAAAGAACGGAGCTAGATCCGATTCGGATCGAAAGAAAAGAAATACAAAGGGTTCATCGAACCCTAAACCCTAATCGGGTGAAGAAACGGGGAAAGAAGGAGTTTTCGATTTCGAAAAGTATTCGAACCCTAACCCTAATTCCAATTCCCGTCCCCAAATCGGATCAGATCCGAGTAGAAAAGAGAAATACAGAAGGGGAAAAAGGGAAGAGGGAAACCCAGAGAGCTTACCTCGCCGTCGTGCACGCCGGCGCGCGCGCCGGGGGGAAAAGAAAGGGCCGGCCGGGGGGCACTGCTCGCCGGGATCCAGCCACAGGGGCGCCGCGGCCAGGCCGCTCGACGGCGGCGCGCTCACCCGCTGGGGAACGCGCACGCCGGCGAGGGGGCCGGCGACGGCGCCGGGGCTCGCTGCTCCATTGTTTCGCCCACTCGCTCGCTCGGTGGCTGCTGCTGCGGCTGCGTCTCCGAGCTACGCTGCGCGATGAGAGAGAAGGGGAGGGTGGAAATGAGGTTAGGGTTTCACGGTGAGGCCACTGGTGCCGGTTTTGTTCGCGCGAAATGCAAGGACGACCGTCCGATCAAGATCCGACGGCGTGGAATGACCGGGCCACTCAGCGGCCCAGGCGGGATTGAGCTTTCCCGGCCCAGGCCCAGGTTGCGGCCTGGGCGCGGGGAGGAAGGCGCGCGCGTAGTGGTGGGCCGTGCGCTGCTGCTGTTTGCGGGCCGCGCGCTGCTGCTGCTTGCGGGCCGCGCGCTGCTGTAGCATATGGGCCGAGCGCGTGTGCAGCTGGGCCGCGTGCACTGCTGCTGGTGGGCTCCGGGCTATACAGTGCTGGACCGGGCCAGAATGCACAGTGATGATTAAAAATTGTTTTATTATTTTTCAGAAGCAAATTTTGTTGATTTCATTCAAAGAATGATTTAAAATCTCTGATAATTATTGCATCAACATGTTAGAATTTTTAGAGAGTA